TTACTCTTTTATTGAGATATTAGGGTCACATTCAGTTTTTAAAATGGAATGTCTAATATTTTTTTTCGATTTCGGATAAATCGTCAAATTTTGCGTAAAAAAGTATTATTACAAAGTGGGACTTAAAACGAATAATTACTGAGATATCTTCAAATTAATAATCTTCTATTAGGAAATACGCTCAGCCAACGTGATTCTTAGCACGACTTTGTTTACTTGTTTTATAAATATCTCAGTAATTATTCATTTTAAGTCCCACTCTGTATGATACTTTTTTGCGCAAAATTTGACGATTTATCGAAAAAAAATATTAGACGTTCTATTTAAAAAACTGAAGGTGGCCCTAATATCTCAATAAAAGAGTAAGGTAATAAAAAAACGAATTATAGCACTGTATGTCCCCCTAGATACCATGCAACTTTTGTTTGAAGCATTTTTTCGTACAATGAATAACTTACGAGTTATTTGAAGTCATGTTAGGAGATTCACCTTGTATATATTCTAATAAAATTTTTGTTTTCTAATTGAACCAAACTGATAATCGACGTCGTCCCTTTATCTCTAAATTCTTCGTCCAAAGAATTACTAAAAAAAAGTCGCCGCGTAATCGGTACATAGATACACAAGCTTATATAGCATTGTTGTGCAGAATCTCGACGCAGTCGCTAACAAATCGAAAATAGACCGAAACGCGTCATTAGTTTCCGCGGCGGATCTGGATCTCCCTGTCGGGGTGGGTCTGTGTTTATTTGGCCGTGGCCCGGGTGTGTGCACGTCTCGCAATCAGAATAACGAGCCATTCGGTCGCACCGCCACATCAATCTGCTCTGGGTTACGTTTTGACGAATCGCGGCACCGCGACGCGCGACGTCTTTATAGAGGCACCTTTTGGCGTGGCGCCAACGCCACGCGTCGACGCCCGAGCAGCAAGCACGACCGACGCGAGAAACTCATCCCCCGGTTTCTTGTGTCAGCCGATTATTTTCCGCGGCCCTCGGAAATGAAACACCGCGTCGCCGAAGATTTACCGGCTACATTTGTATCGAGCTATCGCGGCCGTGGGCGAACGATCGATGTCGACTTTGCTCGGTGAACAGCTAAAAGTGAATCATTACAGGCTCTCGCTGGGGAAAATGAACGGAGTCGGGGAAAAAATTGATGATGCGAGGCTGGCTCGTGAATCTACTTGAGTTAGGTTTTATTTAGCGGTTCGCAGATTGTTGGTTTTTTTTCGGTCGGTTGGAGATGAAGAGCAGTTTAGGTTGATAAAAGTATCGGTGATTTCTTTTGGTCTGTGGCTAGTGTAACTTGTTGCTGTGGACGTGACAGATGATTAACGGTGTGTGACACTAATGTAAATAGGCGACGAGTGGAAATTTTAAGTGAAATGAATCGTAAAACGCGAATTTTTCTCCGTGTGATTCGTTTGTTTATTACGGGTTAACCCTTTCGTGACAAGTGGGACGTTATAAACGCGACGATCGATGGACAAATAATAAATTTAAAAAGTATGCAATTTGGTCGCGAAAGGGTTAAATGGCGTTACCAGTTTAGAGATATCGAGAGATTAATAAGACGAGTATGCTTAATGTTTTAATAGCAATGATGTGATAAAGAATTATGAGCTCTGTCAAAATTGACAAATATTTAGAACAAATTGAGAATGCATTCCCTTCGATTAACACAGTAAACCGTGACACAACGTTACGAAACGAGACAGCTTTCCACAGTGAGACATGTGATTACCTTATCTGATTGGTTATGATTAACATTCACGCTTTCGATATTGATCCTAGTGATTTATGATCGCTGCGCGTACGGTTATCGATGTTAAACCAGTATGACCGTATTATAATTTACGCGACTCGGAGCACTCGGCGTTAACAGCTATCCTGAATCATTAATTATACTTTACGACGTGCATGAGAACATATCGTATCTACGAAATCTCTCCCTGTTTTTTTTCAAAACACCTTCGTCCCCTATCAAAGGTACACCAGATAGCTTTACGAAAGCTTGGAATCCAGAATCCAGGTGCTCGCACCGTTCCTAAGATTCAAATTTCATAATTAATTACACTCGAACAACGAAATCTCTCCCTTTTCTCGAAACTGCTTCGTACTATTTACTACCAGGTAATTTTAACTTTACGAAAGCCTCAAATCCAGAATCCAAGCGGTCACACAGTTTCTAAGATGCAAATATGCTTTCATAATCAATTACACTCTATCATCAAAATCTCTCCCTCTTCTCCTCGAAACCACTTCGTTCCCTTCAAACCGTAAAGCAACAAAAACAGCCAGACACACCTCCGCAAAACCCTCAAATCCACAGAATCTATGCGGTCAGACAGTTTCCCCGATGCGAAATTTCTCATCGACAACCCTTTCTGCCTTCGTCAGAGCCGCGTCCGCATAGAATTGAATCCTGCCCGTTTCCCTGGCTCTCCCCAAGAGCGTGCAGCCGGTCCGCGGCATCGGCACAGTAGAAAGCTGGCCGTGGACGCTCGACACTCTGTTTCTTTAATTGCGTTAATAAATAAAGGACAGTCGGCCGAGGCTAGCGAGCTCTCGGGCCAGAGAGGAATGGGAAGGAGGGCAAAGAGAACGAGAGAGAGAGAGCTAGCGAGGAAGAGAAGAAAGGGAGAGGTGGTGAGACGGCGAAGAAGGAGCCAAAGAAGGGAGAGCAGGGGGTTGGAGGAAGGGCGAAGGACGTGGAACGAAGGACGAGAGCTCCCCCCCCCCCCCCCCTGTAAGCAAATCGCAATATTTAACGCGATAGTTAGTCAATCTTTCTTGATACATGTGTAGGAGGATGACGCGGTGCCGCTCGGCCAATCCGCAGCCCCGGTTAACGCTCTGACGTCGACGAGAAAGTATATTTTACGCGTTTCGTCGGCTATACGAGCCCTCTTTCTGAACCTCCCCTCCTCCTCCTCCTCCTCCTCCTTCGTCCTGGCATTCCACGCGTGGGAAACAATGCGGCCCCATGGCTTCTTTATGCTGAAAGTGTCGCGGGTCTGTTGTTACCGGGACGACCCGATACCCAATCGGATTACAGTATCGTCCTGAACCCTTTGAGGATTCGGAGATCGAAAGGGAATTTTTTTGATGCTTCTTCCAGGTGAAACTCGCGTCGAGGAAGATAATAGCGTTTATACCGAGAAGACGCGTAGGAATTGCTTCGATAAACGGTGAATTTGGACTTTATCGAGGCCACTCGGAAAATTTTGAATTACACTTTCATAATACTTGCACGAATGCAGAGGACAGGATTATTCAAACTTGATAATTTTTGTTCGTGTTATTTGCTCAAGTGATCGCGAAGGTACTTTCTTGTTTCTCTGTGTAATTCCATCAGCGTAGACAATCCTCTGTGCTAGAATTAACGTAATTTTCCTGTTCCGGGGATTTATTCGAGGCTTATTAACGTCGCATTCGATAATTATCGCGCATGTCGTACACAAGTAAGCGTCGTCTATTAAAGATAAACTATGGTACATTAAGCACTGTGTATCAATCGATACCGGTAGGTTGCGCAACACGGGAATGAATAATTCATGATTATGTTTTATCAGTCTTGCAGTATGTCACTTTTTACACGTATTCCCGATGATCCGTAAACGGCGAGCATCGTAATTAACGCGTTACCTGAACAAATGAAGATGAATTTTGTAGCAGCCAGCTACATACTAACGAAACCGAACTAGGTTAAACGGGTTCGAATTAAACACGCAACTTCATTACGGTGTAAACGTTGAGAAACAAATTCGAATCGTTGAAGTTTTTTCTGTCCCGGAGAAACGGATATCTCTGATACGGTCCTTAATACCGAGAGAAAGGGGGAAAAGCAGCCATAAGGTAGAAATATGAACTCATCAGGGTGATATATCGCGCGCAAGATTAAAATGTCCCGGTGAAATGAAGGAAGAGTTAAGAATTATCCGAGAATAATGGACATCGGTAACCTCGGATGGCAGTAATTCGTAAAGTTTAGGATAAATTAGCCGACAGATTTTCCATGGGATACCAGAGAGGAGAGGAGAGGAGAAGATGAGATCGAGGAAGAGCGAGAGGAGGAATTAGAAGTATAAATCGTCGGCTGGGTATATACGACCTCTTTGGTTCAACCTTCGAATATGTGTTTGGATTGGCCGAAGGAGTTTCGTGAGAGAAAAAGGAATCCCGGGACCAAGGACCCGGAGACTCGCGGGAGGATACACGACAAGCTTCTGGCTTTGGAGTGGTCGCTTGTAAAACAACCGAGCGGTACCTTTCTGTCGCGCGGTTCGATCCCGTGGGATCCGGCTACCCGTTTATCGTGAGCCCTCGGCAGAATCGCGTGCTGACCCGTGGGAAACAATACAAATATTTTAATAAACATTCTTCCCTCGGTCGGGGACCTAAGTCTAGACTTTCGAAGAGAAATTATTGCGCCGATTCGAACGACGAGCCGTCTAGGATAGGGATGGATCGATTATGGTTACTGTGTGAGTTAGTGTCGATGGTATATCGTTTATGCTTACTCTGTGATTTATTTGTTTTTGTTTTTTTTTTTTCTTGGTGATATATTGATTAGCGTCGAAATTAGAAATTTCGTGGAATTGAATTTTATTAGCAATGATCCTCGGAGATTATTGTTACTTTGGTTTTAATTTTTACACATTTTCTTTTTGGAATTTGGATGCAAAATTTTCATTGTAAGAAGAAGAATATCCTGACGGCAATTGAAACTTTGCGAAATTTAATCGCATCCGTTAAAATGCAGTAAAATCGAAAGCAACTAATAGAAAAAAAGTAAATTTGGCGGGAATGATAAACTTCACTCTGTCGAATTCGAGATAAAACTTGAAACGAATTGAATTACATCGCACCTTTGCATTGCACGATTAAACTTACGAACAATAGTGTATATGAAATTTTGAAGTGAAGATATTTGTACAAGAATTTTCCTTCGATTCAGTATACAGGAAAGAAGTAACAGGATTTATTCTTTTACAGAAAACATCCCCCCCATGTCGATGAGGAACTTCCCCGCTTCCTTCTGGAACAGCCAGCATCCTGGTGATGTCTACGAGTATTCAACGGATCCATGGCATCCGCATTATTCACAGTATCACCACAGGTGAGCGTTCTTAACATTCCTAGTGTTATCCTTCAAATATATTCCTACGTTATAGAAACAATCTGTCCCGATACACTATCCTCTCGAAATTCTCAACAAGTGACATTCTCTCTTCCAGTCTCCAATTGTCCCCGATAGCGGTAGATCTCCTTTGATTTCATTCGCAGAAATAACATTTCTTCCTTCTCTCGTACGCTGAAAACTCTCTTCGATCGACCAACTATCAACGTTAATTCGACTGATTTACGAGAGAGAAACGTTTTCAGGACACCGGAGGAGAAAGAAATATATCAAGCGTATCTCGATGTATTAACTTAATCAAAGCGTCTTAATTTCTCTCATTCGCAATTTCATTCGAGCTCGTTTATTTACAAACGAATATCAACAGCCACTTTGTCCCCGTTTCGCGTTCCACTTATTCCCGCTAACGCGACCGTATCACCAGAAGCGTGGTCCTTAATTAGACGAATCTCTCCGAGGAATCTGTGATCCGGTCGGGGTTCGCTCCATTTTCAATTCGAAGAGTATAGCTCCGCGCCGTTCGTTTGGCGCGCGCACGCCTCGCGAGAACCAGCCGTGTGATTAATCGACGACGGACGATAATGCGGCCGATGCTTCGCGCATTCCAAAAATCCACCTCCGGCAGGCGCGACACGCTCATTACGCGATAGCCTGCCGGGATAAACCGTCGGAAACGAATGTCGCGGCGCGCACGGTTAGAGTTTGAGGTCGAGGAGAGGGAAACGATACCGGGGGGATCGTCGCCTGAAAAGGGGACAAAAAATGGGAGAAAAATCACGAGAGATGGTGGGAAAGAGAGAGACCGTTCGAGCGATGTGCTCGCGTGTCAGAACGAGAGGGTAGATTAAAGGAGCGTAAAGAAGAAGAAAAGAAGCGACGCGATGCCGAGAGGGGGTAGGAGAGAGGGAGAGGAAGAAAGAGAATGAAGGCAAAGAGAAAACGAGACGTGAAAAATACAGAAAACCGTCGGGAGCAGGTACCCCTGCTCGGAGAGATCTTTAGCGCTGATCTCGCGTCGGCCGCCGTATAAATTACCAGTCTGTCACCGTTCTTGAGAAGAGGCACGATATCGAGGATTCTTTCTCTCCTTCTCTTTCGTGCCTCCTTTTTCTCTCTCGTTCTCCCGCTCCCTCTCATTTCCTCCGGTTCTTTTTTTTTTTGTTCGATCGTTTCTTTACGTTCACACGTTCACCCTGTTCTTTCTCATTCTCCCTCTCCCCCTCTCTCTCTTTTCCCAGTCGAACGTGTGAAGTACCAATCGCCAAACTCGTGTAATAAGTATCTGAAGCAGAGACGTCGAAAACGATTTTTCACGATCTGTTCTAGGGCTGTGCACGAGTATCACCACCATAACATGGCGGCCGTGACGAGTTACGGCGGTCTGCTGTTGGGTGGTGCGCGAGGACTCGGACACCATACGTCCCACCATGCGGCGCATCACGCGCACCCCGCGGCTTCCTACAAGGACTGGCCCTCGGCGACGCCGTCGCAGTCGCTCGTCGACGCTTCCTCCGCACCCCCTTATCCACACGGTCCTTACGCACCCCTCTCTGGTGAGTACCGTCACGAACCTTACCTTTTAACATTAGACTTCGTTCGCAGCGTTCGACGAGTCAAGAATGCCAGGCAGAGTTTCTCGGATTAGCTTTATTCCGTGTTTTACTTCTTTTTTTTTTTTTTTCTTTGTTTTGTTTTGTAGTGAACTTAACTTCAATTTATGTTTGTGTCTTGGTTTTATGTTTCATAAGTAGACGATGGTGTTTTTTATTTAATTTGATTTGTTATGGGTGAGTGATGGTAGTCTGAGCATTTTGGTTTTGAAATCAAATTTAAAATAAGTTTGTTTCACTTGTGCTCAATTTATAGTAAAACAATTACAAGTTTACGTATGTAGAAATCTTTGTCTCGTCAAGCTTTCAATTTTTATTCTAACGATGCTTGCTTCATTTGCGTTCATTCTTACAAATACCAAGTTTACGTACCTAGAATTCAGAGAATTACAGAAAATGCTACTTTACAGAGATCGGTAATTTTCAACAACTATTACTCAAATATCTCGAGCTAACTATTAAAATCGTGTAAATCTCTTCGATATCTTCCCATCAGACTAAACGATCCCTCGACTCTGTCAATTTTTCATTCGTCACTTACTCGACGAATTCTATCGATTAAAAATTCTGTCATCTTTCTACTTCATCGAACTCCAATCGCGCGTTTGCTCGTTCGTAATTTTCCCGCGGCAACAGACCTGCCCCGAATTCCATCCACGCTTCTTCCACGTCCCCTAATTCCCGCACTAGGGACAAGCTTTCCCTGTTTCTTATATAATTCGACAGCGGGCTGCGAGAATCAAAACAGGGCGGCCCTTTTTGCCGCGACGTGTCCCGGGCACCTTGGAGAGTATACACACGAGGAACGGAGCGAAATGTTTTACGGCCGTGCCGTCGGTTTTTGTCGTCGGCATCGATGATTTCGGTGGGAGAACAATGAAGAAAGCACGGTCCTCGAGAGCGTGGCAGCGCTATATCGGCCTCCATTAAGCTCTTATTAATTGCGAGCATCTGAGGGGCCGACCGACCTTTCTTGCGCGCTACCTGCGCGCCATTCTGCCTCTACTCCCTCTGCCGTCCGCCGCAAACGACGCTGCACTCTCGGCCTTCCAACTTTGATGTCGAGTCGATCCTCCTCCGACGAGATTTATCATGTAAATCGTAGGTAAAAAGCCCGCTTCGTCCGCCCCTTCGGTGCAAACCCACCGGACCGCGATGCGTCCTCCTCTCTTTTTTTTTTTCTCCCGTGTTTTCGGCACTGTCCACGATTGTACGGGATCGTGTAACCGTGGATCGATTGGGTATTCGCGAAAATTAAAGATTGAGGGGTATGTAGTAAATGCGAATTGAAGATCTCGTTTGATTTTCCACGGTTGTAATTTGTAGTAAATTCGAGAGTGGATGAAAGTTTTGGATTTGGGGTTGAAGGGTAGTTTTCGCGTGCTTTTTAATGTAATTTGCAATACCCAACGATTAGAAATATTAGTGCAACTTGGAACGCAGGTCGAAAAATTACGTCGAAATGTAATTTCTGCTAATTACTGTGAGCCACCTGTTGATCCAAGCAATACGTAAACAAAATAATTTCACGTTTCCCTTTCCATAATTCACCATAAAAATAATTATTCTCTTCTCAAGAAACGTCTTCTCCTGCTAAATAAATTATCTAGATATCAATCGCTCTTCCACAATATCGATACAATTTCGAGCACAAGTTGCAAAATTACATTGCACCAATTACATCGAAACTTTATTTCTGCTAATTATTGCGAGCCACCTGTTGATCCTGAGCAATACGTAAACAAAAGAATTCCACGTTTCCCTTTCCATAACGTACTACAATAAATGGTCACTCGCTTCTCAAGAAGTGTCTCCTCTTTCTAAGTTACTCAAATTATCGAAAACGAGCGAAACGACTCCACGATTCTAGGGAATTGCGGAAAGTTCGAAACGATGGATGTTTGGCGCTACGAGTAAATTCGCGTCGCGCGATTCGCCAGCACGTTCGAACGCAAATGCATCGCACACGAGCTGTGCAGCGCGGGGTGCAGCTGCAGCACGCCGTGAAAGCACCACGCCCATCGTGATTGCGGAGACCACTCCCATTTGTCTGCACGTCGCTGCAACCAGCACGCCTTCCGCTTTACCAAGGCAGCCAGTCACGCGATTTCGTGTAATACGTTCGTAACTTCTGATGCAACGTTTCTACCCACGGGTTCAGAATATCCGCGTCTTTCGCTTCGGCTTTATTTTTATCGCGGACCCTGTCCTTTCGTCCAACAACGACCCGTTGGTTGCTATAGGTGTCATCTTTGGCGATTTCCGCTTCGAAACGAGAGTTTTTGAGGACTTCGTGACGCGGATTGTTTGAATTGGTTATTTTTCATCGTTTTGAAGGTTGTTTGGAATTTTGGGGGATGTGATTTAGGGTAGTTTGTTAGGGAAAGGTGAATTGTTTGGTTCGTGTTAACTTTGTTTAATATATTTTGAAGTTGTGGTGGTTAAATTAGGAAGATTTGAATGTATTGGTAAAGTTTAAAGAGCTCAATTGTTATTATTGATTTCACAGGAATATTCGTGTTCGAGTGGTTTTGAAAATATGATTAGTACAAATGAAGGTTGCAAATGAGTTTGTTTAATTTACTCCTTAAATTCGTATTAAAATTATTATTACAGTTTTGTAGTGGCTAAATAAAGAGAATTCGTGAAAAGGGCTTCAAATTATTATTGATTTTATACGAGTATTCGTCTAATAGTATTCTTGAAAGCCTAATCAGTGCGGGGAAACATTATGAATATTGAATTAAAATACTTTATGTTACAACGAGACATAAGTAACATAAAATAGAGAAACAAATTTATTAATTATACGAAAGTTTAACCCTTGTAATTTTTTTTTTCAATTTAAATATGGATACTTCTCAGCAGCGTAAAATTTCGCAGTATTTTTAATTTTGCTAATTTCACGTTTATATTCAAAATCGATTTGCTTTCGATGTGATGGGAATAACAATTTTATTGAACATTCAGTTTCGCAAGAAAACGTTTAAGAAAGTCATAGGTTGAAATGTTTTAAAATGCAAAATAGTTTAACTTCGGAAACGATAAAGGGATGTAGAATAGGGGAGAGAAAACGGTGTGCCATGGTCATGTTCCATGTATGGTGAATTCAAGGGACGAAAATCGATACTAGAGTTTCACTTTAGCACTCTCATCCCTCTCGCTGTCACTGATTCGATACGCCATGGTTTCAACCCTCTTTCGGTAGCCATTTTGGCCATTTCAGCTTGACAACTATTAAAGAACCTTACCTTTTCCATTTCGTTTCTTTTTTTATCAGATTTAAATATTCCATTATTTTCAATCTCGAGTTTCTTCTACTAAACGTAGCCCTTCGTTTCTTGATTTTGTGGTAATTGTTCAAAAAATTTGTATTGTACAAAAGAACACACAGAGCAATATATTTTTCACATTTGTTGTAAGAACTTCTACTTTTTATCATATGTATAGCAATTCGCGTTATAATTTTAGCAATAATATTTTAAATTAAATCACTTGAAAAGTTCTCTTCTCCCCTTTATTCTTGAATTAAATTAATTAAGAAATTTATCCTGGATCGCGGGACTTCGATAGTACAGAATGAAGATGAATACTGAGAAAATTTTGAATTTCAATAACTATTAATTAGACCAAACCGCGTTAACGAAGAAGTGAACCTAATGCAATGATATTTGAATTTCGACAGCCTCGCGTCGCGTTAAAGATGGCGATTTTAAATGTATTACAGAAGATTCTTTGAAATAATCTAAAATAAAGAAATACCGAATGTTTCTAACCGTAAGTCGTCTCTCCCCGTCTGCAAAGTGCAAGTTGAAACACTAATTTCCATCTGCGTTTCAATACCGAAACTCGTCTCCTTAACGAAACACGAAATCTTCCACTAAGATAATTTTCACCCACACCCCAACGTTTACTGTCGTCAAACAAGCAATAAACGTTTACCCAAAACTCGACCCCTGGAGATTTTCCGAAGATCACGCCGACGTCTCGAAGAAATTTCACCGAGGAGCTGTGTGAAAAATTTTGGCGTGGCCGGTTGGGAGGCTCCCAGGAACGAACGGGCAGAGATTTAGGGCCAATTTAGGAAACGCTTACATCGCACGCGCGCGCCTCGTTGTATGGGCGCAGATTGAGAGTTGGTTCGCGGATCGGACCGACCAAACGAGTTTTCAAGAATTTACTCGCCGGAATGCCGGCAACGCTCACTATTCTAACTGGCGTGTGCTACCGTAAGGGCCCTGTGCACGCTCGCTGCTTCCAAGTAGCCGCGACCTCGTCGTCAAACATCGATTCTGGAAATTAATGAATAAATAAGGAAGGACTTGCGGCCTGTCCTCTTTCTTCGCCCCAACGAATGCCGATTCTCCGCGGTTCGTCAAGACCAATTGAAAAAGGACGTCATCGTGCCGCGGACCAGATTTTTGGGAATTTCGTTGAGATACATGAGGGGGAACGGAGAATTTGCGGGTTTCGAGGGAATCTTGCGGGGATCAGACTTCTTGGCGAACAGCGAACGCGGGTAAATTGCGTCTCCATTGATCTGTTGCACTCGATGGATTTTCAGAGGTAGCACGTTGCTTAGGTATTAACAAATCTACGTGCAAAATAAAAGAGGCGGGAGATTTAAAATACGACGTGATTGAACATAAAGAAACGAGTAGTTATTAACCCTTTGAGTATGTATGCGTTGACAAAATACAGATTGATCGACGAATGACAAAAACTGGTATTGCAAGTACTATTTTTCAATTTTCGGAGAAATTAAATTTTCTAATTTAACTGTTGGGTTGACAAGAAGTTTGTAGCGTTTTTTAAGTGAAATTCAAAGACACTTTAGATATTTGTACATGTGTAGAACTATCTTTCGCCATCTTTGAGGCAGTTTCGTGATTCCATCCTCCCAGAATTTACAAATTCTACGAACTTTTGTTCCAGCCCAATAT